ACTACTCGTTGGAGTTTGATTGTTGCGCTCTGACAACATAATTATACCCTAATATTTAATTTAGAACCCATTTAGATATAGAAGGAGCAAAGATTCAGAATAATCAAATAATCGAGGTCGAAACGATGGCATAAGGAAATGCGTGAATGGCATATTCGTATAGAGCCGCTGGCAGGGAACTCATCCGGAATTAAAGCTCCAGAACCACCCAGCGACGCCCTGGACCACCTAGGGGTCGACGGGGGCGTTGGCTCGGTCCGTCCTTGATACGCCCCTGCGTGTGCTGCTGTTGAAACCTCTTCGGGGGCCCAGTAGCCGCACACGCGCTATTTCACCGTTGCTCTCAAGAGCACACCAAGCACACGCGTACCAGCCGGGCTTGGAATTATCGCGGCAGGGGCGTGGACCAGGCTCCCTTGTCGACCCCCGAAATCCGACGACGCAACCCGCCGTCGACTCGACGAACAAAAAACTAAGGGTGACGAACGTGTTCCACTCGGTCGTGAAACGCGAGCGAAAATAAACCGATGCGCGCCGGTTCACAGCGGCTAATGTGATTCTTTCTGAAACTAACGAGTATTCATTAGCCTTCGATACTTTCGTCGGAGGAGGCGTTCGCATGGTCTTAGCGCTAGTTACGTTCGCGCTTAAGCGATCACGTAACGAACCTCGACATTTAATTGTTTGTAAGCTCTAGTAATTACGAATTTAAAAGTGCGCAAGTAATGAGAGTAAAGAGTAAGGCATGAAAAAACTGAGACAAGAATCCGACGTTTAGAAGTCTGAAATTTTGTTTCCAATGACATTTATTATAAGTGATCACTTTAGTTGATCGCCTTAATCGAAAACCGAGAAACTCCCTTTTTAGAAATCTCCCGTGCCGGTCTAATTCGTTTTCAACAGTTTTGTCGGATCTTTTAGAAAGTTGATCTGACCAATAAAGGCGGCAGGAAAAAAGTTATAATAACGATTGCGTGGGCGGAGTTCTGTCCAGCAAGAATATCCAGAACGAGCACAAAGGATTTTTCTTTGTTCTACCGACACTTTCGGGATCCAAGTCTTGATTCATTTGGGAAGCAATGGGCCAAGCAAAATTATTGTTTGCTCAACTCATTAGGAAAGCTGATGTGTTGTTAAATTTATAACAGGTCCCGAGTTAGTTTGGTATTTTTTCGTAAAATGAATAAGGTATCTTTCTTTTTCGACATTCCAAGTCTTTGCTCTTTATTATCCTTCGAAGAATCATGAATTTGCAAATACAGTCAGAGAAGATTTTTAACTAAAGAATATTTTGAAAAAAATTTGCCACACAGTATTAAATTTTTCTATTTTACGTTTTAGAAATGGAACAGCGAATTTTTTGTCTGATATATTTTGTTTCTAAATTATGAAGAATTAAAAACAAAATATATAACGCGATCTCATGAAAACATTCTGCCTTTGAAAGTCCGGCGCAGTAACGTCGCGGCGACGAAGGATCAACGTGTATAACGCGCGAATTGAAACGGTCACCCAACGTACGTTGCGTCCTCGTAATCGGATCCGCGCACCCCTGCATCTTCAAAAGGTAAAGCGTCCGGGCGTCGAATTCAGCTGTTTCCGGTGGGCGTTAACGTGAAAACGGGTTCGCGATTTCTTTCGGTGCCCTGTGTCGAAATCATGCAATGAGAGACTTCCCACTGTACCTGCGATAAAGCTCAGAGCTGTGTTAAGTACAAAGGGTAGCAGAGGGTGCACTGGGAACGCAAAAGAGAGCGTACGTGAAAGACGCTCGAGTGAAATCGTCCCGATGGGTGCGGAAGCGACGACGTCGCGGCAGCAAAGGGTGCTGGCGCGTGTGCCCTCGCCCTTAGATCTTGCGCCTTCAGGGGCGTATCCAACAAACTCCCGTCGTGTAGCACCGCGGGGTTTCCAGGGTGCCCCTCCGACGAATTATCGTCCCGGGAGGTATGCTCTCTTTCGTCCGTCCAATGACAGACGCCGCGATGATTACGGGTGTCTCAGATTTCCTCACACTACACGGGATGTCGCGGAATATACGCAGACTTATTGTCTCCCCATTTGGGTTTCTGAATGATATTGCGTCGCCGCTCACGGAAGTTTTCATCTAATTATGAATCTAATACTCTGTCATACATTTTACTCGTGTATGCGTGCTAATGGGTTGGGCAAAGTGTACGACATCTGTTCACGCTATTGTTTATAGACTTGTTTATAAGTTTTGTAAAGATGGAATCACACGATGCTCGATTTCTTGAACGTTAACATGCATACAGTCATACTTGCTCTGGGTATCAATCATGAAACTTTATCCCTTGGATGGAAAGTAAAAAGTGAAAATTTTTACCATTGAAATTAATGGAGAAATTTTTCACTTTTCACTTTTCATCCTAGGGATAATGTTTCATGATTGATACCCTGACATATGCTAGAATTCGTTTATGTTTGAGTGCTTCTGCATATACATGATTTTTATATTTATTATGGATTACTTCATAGCTTATTTCCTTGCGTGTACTAATAAAAAAAAACAATTGCTAATTTCATATTTGTCAAACGTGTCAGACTGTATGCATGCATACATGCTTATCATTCAAGAAATCGAGCATCGTGTGATTCCATCTTTGCTCGATTATTCTTCGAACGGTATCACACGAGTAAAAAAAACAATGTTAATTAATACTCTCATGCAATAATACAATTTATGCGATTTTTACTTTCACAATTAATATAGTTTATATAATTAATAATTTAATTAATTTTTCATTTTCGTGCATCTTTGGTGATACGATTCATGTAAAAAATTGAGCGTAACTTTGAAACTATTTGTCTGTAATGAAAGAAATAATTATCTTTTTTATTAATCTCTGGCTCATTCCATTGACTCTAATGATATCTTACACACATCATAATAAGAGATTCAGCCCTTTTATCTGCTCTGAATTAATTTCGCCATGGTGGCGAATTGATATGTTTTTAATATTTATTTCTAAAAGTTAACCGATAATTGCATAGTAACATGAATATGACAGCTGTATATCACATTTTTCAGATGATACCTTCCCTCTCATGGGTACATCTTGACGTAGTAAGAGGATTCAATATCCTGAGGATATACACGAAAAGAACGGTTTTTCTCAAATATCTAAAAATTTTCGGATCTATCTGAATGATATATCTAGATAAATTTTTAGATATTAAGTAAAATCGTTCTTTTCGTATAAAAATCTAATGACGAAGCAGCTAACGTACCCTCGTCGCCGATTTAATTGAAAGTGAACGAACTGCAGTCGGTTCGTCGCGTCGCGCGTTTGTTTCAGGAGTGCCGTTAAAGTTATTGAACTAATGGACTTTTCATAAAACCCATTCGATGGCATTCTATTTCGACAATGGGATCATATCTTCGATGTTTCAACAAGAAAGCGGAACTTCATTGAGACGTTGCTACATGTGGCCTCCGCGGCAGTCATTGCAATTTTCATAAAACCCATTCGATGGCATTCTATTTCGACAATGGGATCATATCTTCGATGTTTCAACAGGAAAGCGGAATTTCATTGAGACGTTGCTACATGTGGCCTCCGCGGCAGTCATTGCAATGCTCTCACGCCAAATGCTCCGGGCACGAGGTGATGCCGGCCGCGTAATGTCACGCACTTCGCAGTGCGTGTTCGCGCGATTTAGCAACTACTGTTGCTGTCGGCTAATTGAGGACACGCTCTATCTGTCGGTAAACGGTTCGGCCCTTAGCGGTAAAAAGCAATCGATTGACTCGGATTTGTTTCGACCTGTATTCTATAACTCGAGTTACGCAGTCGTTATGAGCACATAACGATTGCATAACGAGTTACAGAATTCCGCTGGTCGCCCAAAAAGGTGTTGTATAACTCTGGTCAGGGCGCTCATTTCTCTGCGTTTATCTACCAGCACCTGAATGATTCTCGCGTTCAATATGATTTGGTCAGAGTCTAGCTTTAGTAGTTTTTTTTTTAAACTAGCTTGTGACGAGGGGTTGGATTCCATTTCTTGAATTGTTTAGATTGTTAGACAATTGGCAATGGTACCAACTTTTCTCTTATTAGAGGCGCTTGTCACGTCTACCAGCCTTTTCGAATCGCTCGTGGTACAGCACCACTTGTGTCTCATTAGGACTAGTAGTTAGGGCCTATGATTGAGTCAATGTTAAACGTAATGTAGGCGTAAACCAGAAGTGACGGACTCGATACGATCGATTTCGCCTTCTTTCGTATGGGGCTTAACCCTTGTTCGGCATTCATCGTGTGTTTCGCATGTACTTGTCGACGTGTAATGTTGATTCCACCGAACGAAATGGAAATCCTATCATGGGTTTTGTAAACGTGAAATACCGCAGTGTCGCGTGAAAGACTTATAAATAATGTGCGCGCGACTATAGTAGATTATTCGCGAATGTTTTACGTCCTGTGCGAGAGGATGTCAATCCAATTCTGAAAGGAGGAGAGGCATCGCGCAGCAACCTTGTGGCAAATATCATTTTTTGCTCATGTAACATTAATATCTTTCTTCTGTTTATTTTTGAGTCGTTTTATTTTAACGATTTAAAAATGGTAATTAGAAAAAAAGGATTATTTTAAAATTATTTTGAAATTTGTAAATATGTGTTTGTAAGAAAATTTATAATTATTTTTATAAATATAAATAAGTAATGAATTAAAAAATTCGATGCTTATAAACATTATATATCTTGAAAATTATAGGATTATTTTCAAGAGAACTGCATTTAGTAAATATTTTTTGAAATATCGGTTGATTTTTTTAAACGGTTTTAATTTGGATTTTATATTCTTTTTGTTACAGAATCATCGTTGCTGATATAACTTCACTATTGCGTATCGGATTGGTAAGTGATGAATTAATGTTTTTATTGAGGTAACGAATGTGTGGTAATTTCATTATATATATATATATGATTGGTTTAGAACGTCTTGAGACGTTGTCCGATTTCCGAAATCTATTCTCTCCTATTCCTCCATTGGTCGTCTCTGAGGTCTCTTGCAGTTATCGCTTTCTGTTCTTTCGTTCGTCGTCCAGTTTGTTTTCGGGCTTCCTCGTTTCCGATATTCTGGGGATTGCCACTCTAGACACTGTTTTAGGAGTCTCCCTTTTCCCATGCTGTTTATATGTCCGTACCAAATCAGTTTTCTTTTCTCTATAGCTTCCGCAATTGTCCCTTCTATCCCCATGCGGTTCTTAATTTCTTCATTTCTTATCCAGTCTCTTCTAGATATTCTTAACGCTTTTCTAATTGCGTCTATTTCTACTGCTGGTTTTCTCCGGTTTCTTTCTGTTACTCTCCACGTTTCCACCCCGTATAACAGACTACTCTTGATCATGGTTTCGTAAATATACTTCCTTTTCTTTGATATCTCCCTACTCCATAAAATATCATCGAGATATCGTATCGCTCTTCTTGCCTGTATAATTCTTGAATTAATTTCTTTTTTATCGGTCCTTGTTTTGTCGAATATTATTCCCAGATATTTGTATTCCCTGACATTCTTTAATTTCTTGGTTATTGTCCATCTTGAGGTGTCCATCGTTTATTTCTGAGCCGATACTAAGATATTTTGTTTTTTCGATATTTACTTGTAATCCTCATTTTGAGTATTCCTCAACTAATTTCCGCATCATACTCAAACATTACTATTATTATTTCCATTACACTGAAAAGTAATTTAATAACTGAAAAGTATCTCATATAAAATTATGTACGTTTATGAATATTTATGTATGTTTATACATATTTATACATATTCATGCATGAAAAATTTTTACCGGGCAGTTTGGGTTATTTCTAATTATTCCTATACTATGTCGCCACTGCTTTTACTTAATATCTCGTTAGTATAACTATAACAATAGAATAAAAATATTTAACTCAAAACTATTCTATTTAGTTCAAATTTGATTCACTAATTGTAAATTCGTACCTTTTTACAAAATAATTTCTCCGCTTTGTAAATAACAAAAGTATTTGTTTATATTAACTAACAATAGTTTACATAAAATTACTGTTTTATTCGGTACATTTTAACCAAAAACTTTTGTTCGGTATATTTTAATCAAATTTTTATTGTTACAATAAAATTTTGGGAAACACAATCAATACTAGAAAAATGCCTATTATGGCCGAAACTGGATCTTCATTGCTTTAAATAAATCAATTTTGAATTACTAATATACACTATATATGTACTTGCATGTATATATCATATTGTAGTCTTTTTAGAACTGCCCGCCGAATTGTTTTTCTGGATTATAAACGCAATTAAAACTACTCTAGTAATCGCGAATTAAATTGATAAGCAATTTAATAATTTGATGCTATCATCAAGCATTATATTATAAAGATGTTAATATGTTGAAACTGTTAATAAATTTATTGCGAATAAAATTTTGGTTTATAAAAAACCTTTTTCTTAGTATATAATAGATATAAATTGGAAAATAATTTTGTTATGCCATTGAATCATTTATGTAGGAAACTTAAACATAATAATGTTGAAATATTATTAAACAATGTTGATAAAAATGTTAATATTCGAGCAACAAGCTTGAACACATAATTATTTTGATAGTTTAACAAAATTATTTTCATTCTATGTGCTGCTAAATTTTTAGATATTTCAGCAAAAGTTTTTTCCGCGTAAAAACTAACAAATACAACTTTTATAGTTGTAGAAAAGTTTCACAAGAAAATAATGTATATTCTTTATAACAAAAAATAATAGAGATTAATCGGATTTTCGAAATTCAACAAGTAAATATTCAATAGAGGCAAGTAAAAGTAAAGATTTTGTGCGATAATTCGTGCGTTACTTATAATTTAAACAATGTAAATTGTATTTAAATTCTTCTTACATTTTACAAGGCGATCGAACGTTTTGGCTCAATTCAAGCCATCATCAGCGATATCTAAAATTCAAATAAATCAATTATGTACGCAATGTGTCTGCACGAAATACAATCTTAGTGTGCAGCGAATAGAGCCTTTCTGATTTCCATATTTGAAGAGTGAATCGTCACGTAATTTTTATACTTACTAAATGAACTTCGCTGCAACCATGGCTACATATAGCAGAACATCGAAATAAATAAAAATTACAAAAAGTAAGATATACAATTGTTAAATAAAAGCTATCGTTACAATGACTGCGTCCAATCAAGTACAAACAGAATGTATTCTTTTCCTTCTGAAAAAATGTAGTTGTAGAAAGATACACAATTTCATCAGCGTTTTCTTCTAAATAATAATTTTTTTATTTTTTTCCCAACCCGGTGCCACATTCCGTAGTCAATAAAACGTAAAAAATTTATAATTCATAGTAGAGTCGCGAACGATTTCACGAACTATACTCTCGTATGACTCATCCAATCCCCGACGAGGAAGACATTTCACGTTCAGCGTTAATTGCGGCGTCAAGAATGATTTTACAGTCGTGGCAAATATCCACGCGCCGAAACTGAAATTGCCCGCAGTTTGAGGGCCGCGATTAATCTTGAGATTAAAGTGAGAGACTTTGTCGGCTGTAATTGATGTCGAGGGAGCGAGAGCGAGGGGCAGCGAGGATAGCAGGAAGGACAAATAAGAATGGTAATTATTGTAATCTCTACGCGGTGGGAGGACAGCTGGGAGGTCCTGCTACTCTCTTCGCTTCAGCCGTATCTAATATTGGAGGCTACCGCGAAATTATCTTCTCAGGAGGTCCATTTCTTTAATTTGTATTATTATTTAAGACGTTTGTAATTGAGATTACGTTTTCAACGTCACGCCTCGTATCTGTTAAATAGACATTAGCGAAGAGATACCGCTTCTTAGCGCTACTTCAAGAAAATGCGATTAATAAAGTTATTCGAATTGGAAATATACATATTTCCAACTAACAAGTTATTTGCATAAAAATAATTAATCATAAATGTACGTTGACATTTACATCCTGGGAATTTTATCTAAACCTGTCATTTATATACAATCATTCCAATCTTCGAGCAGTAATCGAGACTGCTAGAAATATATTTTGCAAGTCAACCGGATGGATAATATAACTTCGTGCATCACGATCAAACGATGTTGCACACTAGAAATGGCAAGAGATATAATCGGTGTAACATTGGAATTTGCAATCCAATCGTTTGTCGCACTGGTCGTTAACGCAGACATATCGCGCTGTATCGAAGAGGTGCGCGCGACTCAGGTGAGCTATCAGGTTGTTCAGGTATCGTCCTGCCCCGTGAATACCATTGGTCGATTGCAGACCACGCCTGCTCACCTGCAGCTAGCACATTCCGTGGTGGGGTTGGAACTTACCTGTCGCTGACGTCACCGAAGTCACGCTAACTCCTCAGGTAAATGCCTTCCTGCATTAGCCGTCTTCGCGGTATTTTCGCTCGTTTATCGTGTATCTTTTCGAATCGGCGTTAGAGTAGCACTATAATTCTCGGAGTTATAAATATATTATGGACATACTTAGTTCCCTTTATTGTATATTCTTTTATCGTATAGAAAGATACAATTACAAACACAACGATTATCGAACATGTATTTAAGTGAACGCGATAGTTATAAAATAATAGAAGAATTTAATTCTATCACAAAATATCTGTTAAAAAATTAATCATTAGGATAGCAGAAAAGTATATATAACACACACACACACACACACACACACACACACACACACACACAATGTATTATAAAACAGTTGAAAATAATTTTAATTGAAACGGGTATGGGGGTATTGATGCATAGACGAATACATTGTATTAATTCTACATCGTATTTAAAAAATGCCAGATTGGAGAGTCGAACGGATCAGTTGCTTTTTATTATCCGACTTGCATTCATCATTCGGGCATTTTTCGAGTTTGGCAAGGGCGCTCACTCTCTCGAGTCGTAATTGTCGGAGCGAAAAAAAGAGCGATGGTCGCAGCCTCGGCGGGTTTCATGGCGCGCGGACGAGCTCGCGGGGCCCTGGACGCGTATGAAAATTCATGAGCGCCTGAAGTCAAAGGCAGTTGATATCCATATTCAGAAAATGGCGTCGTTAACATTAAACGGGCACCATTATGCGTGGCTACCAATACGCGCGCGTTCGCGCACGCATACAACGACGGGTGGGTTGTGTGGGTATGCGTTTCGTCGCACGCTACAGAAACTCTCAGGGGAAACCGTGCGCGTGCAGTGCGCGTTACACGCTTGCATTCGAGGTGCACACGTTTCCCGACGACTGCATTGCTCCTTGGCATGCGACGACAGACGATCATCTCGCTCGCTATCATTTTCGAGCCGTTTCATTTGAAAAGGGTGTGACTCGGGGTGTAACTCGCGAAGGAGAAAGAGGACCGGCCGATTACTTTGAGATCGTCGGACGATACGACGCCATTAGGGTACTTATCCTTTCTCACGGTGCGTGTACCAGCCACGGACGATAATTATTTAGCGCCGCTACGCTGAATAGAGCTACCGCCTCCGTCCACTCGTAATGTCGAACGACCGAATCGACAGCCCTGAATCTCGTTCGGTTATAATTTTATTCCACGTATGTTAATTCGTAATATCCGAGGTTGCAACCCGCCGCGATTTTCTTTATGAACGATAAGTATACTTTTCACAGATCAATATACATTGCGTTACCGTGACGTAACGTAACACACACACTCGGCGAGGCTCGAGACATCCGGATATTTAATCTCTTCGAGATTCAAATACTTCCAGCCGGCTCGATTCCCGCCCCGCTTTCCCGAAGGAAAGCGAGCGGAACGTAAAGTGTTCGACATCAGAGAGCTTCGAGCCGAGCTAATATTGACGTACGTAGGATAGAGATAACGGCAATATTGGATGTCCCCTGGTTGTGAGCCGAGGAAGCGGGATGATCGGCGCCCCTCGCTCCGGATTTGCCTTCGTAGTCACAGCTCCATTGTGGCATGTTCGATGAAGCAAATGCACATCGGCGGTGCGCTCTTCGACGGGACCGCGCTTCGACGAGTGCTACTCGGCCTACATATATATCTATATACGCGATGCCCGCGCGCGTGTGCGCGGTGCTGGTACACGCTCCAAGACACCCTGCGGCGCAGGGTATTTACATATCAAAGTGACGATGGTCTCTCGCACCGTGGTGGAACTGCACTATCCGTCGACAGACCGCGCGAGGGGATGCGAATTTTCCTCGCATTCCGGCCTGTCACCGATCTATTCGTTGGCTCTCGAATGGAATGATGAAACGATTTCCTTTCACGGCTCCTCGTCGTAAATGTTTGAATTTAGAGGACAAGATGTTTTTTGCACCGTCTTCAAGTTCTACCGCATGGAACAATTGATCGCTCTTTCGTAAATTAATTACGAGTATTTTCATTTAGATATTCAGTATTTAACCATGTTATTAGACCTTGGATTTTACTTGTTCATTGGACATTATAGACAAGCGAATGTCGCATTAAAACAAATGCATCCATTTTATAAACAATTACTTTTTGTACATATTTTAATCGATTACAACAATGATAGAGATGAATAATATATTGTTAAAAATTCAGA